AGAGGTGAGAGCAGTGATTTAGGACGAGGAGCATTGCTTACCTTGATTTATTCCTCCTGGGAACTGCAGGTGCTGCCACTCCATTGTCACCGGGTGCCAAACAAGCAAGCAAAACTCGTTTCTGCAGACTTAAACCATCTGCAAAGGTGTTTCTTTTCAGGACAGGCAGAAAACAGGATCCTTTACTCCTCTCTGGGGTGGGACCCCAACACAGGCATTTTGGTCCCTTAATGGGAGAAGAGGAATACAATTTTATACCCAAGCAAACCCACACCAGGTTCTTCTGCGGCTCAGAGGCATTACTGAGGGTTTCCCTCCATGTCAGCTCAGTCTCAGCACAGATTGAGGTGGAGGTAGCAGTTTAGATTGTTTTCAGCTGAGAAGCTCTGTGGATGTCCAGCCAAGGGGTGGGTTTATATAGATCATCTCCACAACACCCCAAGGCTGCACCCGTACCAGGAGATGAAGGGGCCCATCACCCTGTGTGTCCTCATCATGGCCAGATGCATCCTGCACCCCTCACTGGCCGGGACAGACCCAGCTGGCGTGGCTAACTGTGGACACTGCTCCCAGTGCTGCCCAAATGTTGGCACAACCGGGACAAGGATCAGTGGTCCCTGGTGGGTCTAGGATGGTGGGACCCTGGTGGGTCAAGGAAACTCAAGGATGGTCAAGGATGAGCATTCATGAATGATGCTGGGCCAGAGGGAGATATTGCCTGAACCACCACTACCACCACTGCAGTGGGCACTAGCGCACAGGGTCACCCTCCCCAGCCTCTGCTGCTCCGTCCCAAAATCCTCAAGTGCCACAACCCCCGTGGGAACCCAGCTCCAGCATGACCCCCATCCTCACCCCACGCCACCTCCCACTCCAGCCCAAGCCCCCCAAAGCCCATCCGGGCGGTGCACCTCCCAGCCTCCCCATCTCTTTGCAGATGCGCCAAGCTCCTGCTGAGACACGGGGCCACCGTCGACCAGCCCAGCGAGGACGGGGGGGAGACAGCACTGCACGTGGCAGCCAGGCACTGTCTCTGTGACCATGCCCGTCTCTACCTGCGGCACGGGGCATGCGTCAACGCACGCAGTGCGCGGGAGGACACGGCCCTTGGCATCCTCTGTGGGCAGGCACCGGGTGCCGGTGAGGGCTGCCTGCAGCTTTGCCGGCTGCTGGCAGCCCCCCGGGCCGGAAT